CATCGGAAATAGTATGCCACCATACCCACCATAAACCCTCTGCTTTTTGCACCTACAAGGTTATTTTCTATTTTATGTTGCCTTCTGCACTCTTAAGGGGAGTTATGGGATTTTTGCAAACTATGTCAAATATTTTGAATAAATTCCTCTGGGGCATTTCTCAGAATGCATCAAAGGCAAAAGTCCTCATTAATGTCCACCAGAGGAGAACAAGTAAGAGTTTCCAGACCGGCTTTGGAGTTACCATAACACGTAAAAAAACCACACTTCCCCCCCACCTCCCGTCCCAGTTCCTCATGTCTCTTAATCACTGTATCCAGGCTACATACTTTTAACGGGGGGTTAAATCCACAGTCTCTGAACTTATAATAGACTGGGTTTATTCCCATAAGAATGGTGGAAACAAAGTTCAAAAATCATGTAGTAGATAACAGTCCGTTTTAGAGAATATCATTTCCTCTGAAGAGTGAATTAACCAGTTCTGAAATTTGCAGTAACTGGTGACTATAAGGAATTTATGTAGTAATCAAGCAGTGAATGTGTGGCATAAACGTCTCCTGTTTTAAGAAGGCAGCTTCACCTTTATTACCACCTACGCTTTTGTTGATGAATCACATTTTGATATAAGGACTATATAAAAAGGGGCCAAAGAGACAAATCTCTATAAAACCCTTGGTATTGTAGCCTTTCCTACCTGCATTTCTCTGGAAGTTGCCTGACCAACATAACCTCAGAGGTGGTGGAAAATGTACAGCGGTGTATGCTACCTTCTGCTTGTGGCAACTGAATGGTATTTTGTTTTATTCTCCTTTCTCCATAATATGACTAAAGCTTTTCTCACTAAGGTGAGTTTTTGTAGGGATTTTGACGTTCCAGGAATGTGATCTTTCTTGTAAGTCCTCTCTCAATGTCAAGTGAAGCAGCAGAGATTCTGATCTGTGAGTACGTGTTCAGACTGAGTTACGGAAGCAGCACTAGGTGGTAAGAATTCCTAAAGATAAGCTCAGGAAATGAGGGTGGAGTGCTAGTGCCATGGATATGAATCTGGCTTTCTGC